ATACAGTTACGTGTCGCTTAGCGACGAGCATATGTTCTGAGAAACGTGTCATTAGGTGATTTCGTCGTTGTGTGAACATCATAGAGTGTACTTACACAAACCTAAATGGGATAGCCCACTACACACCTAGGCCATATGGTACTAATCTTATGGGACCGTTGTATTTGTGATCCGTCGTTGACCTTTTCTGTGGTTATGCGGTGCATGACTGTAGTTCTTTCTCTTGCTGACTAGACTCCAGGTAAAAGTTTTAAAAATATTATGCTATCCCTGAAAATCAGATTAAGATGTTTTGTGAGATTCTCTTTGAGATGTCAGATCTGTTAGCTTGACCATTATTAACCTCAGGAACTTGCAGATGCCTTGTGTTCGCTGTGGGTTGGCCTACAGTTGGCCTCTATTAAGGGGTCAATACGAGGGTTTCAAACCCTTGAAAAGTTTTTTATTCTGAGGAGGCAGCTACCCAGCTGGCAGAAGCCCATTCTTTTGTTTTCTCAGAATACAGTTGTCATGCTTCAAGAGGCTGGCAAATGTTGCTTTGGCAGAATAAGGATGAGAATAATTTTTTTAGCCATGCTTTCCTTTGGTCTTTGAAGCAAATACAGAATGTTGATGGAATATGAAATTGATTCGAGAAATATACCTTAGAATTAAGGTAATGGAAGCATGTAAGTTTGGTACCATGTAAGTAAATGCAGCAGAAGACTTCTGTGGCTTCTTGCTATAATTTAGAAATATTTTGTGTTCCTTTTAGGGTCATTGCCATTTGCAAATTTCAGCATAATTGCTATGTTCTGTTTAAGTTTGTTAAGAGTTTTGTGACTTAGTTATTTTAAGTATAATTTAAAATAAAATGTGTTTTTTGTCATTTCCAGTAACGACTGTCTCTTTCCTTTTTTTGTATATATTTCTCTTTCCATCATATTAATAGAACAAATATGTTTAAATTTCCAGTTAGTTTGTCTTATTTTCCCATGTGGGTTTAAGATTTCATGGTCTTTTGCAGATTTCTGTCACATTATTGACCATTTTTCTGCTGTTCATTTTGCTTTAGCCACACTGAACTTGCTGTACTTGGAATAAGCCAGCCTCTGGCATCCTCCCCTGAGATTAACCCCTGAAGGAATGGTCATAAAATAAAGAGAAAAATTAGAAAGCCCCAGGGAAGGAGTGTTGGTACTGGGGGGTGTGTTTGTGTGTGCACGCATGCATGTGCATGTGGCCTTGGTGGTGGTGGTGGTGGTGGTGTTGGTGACGGTGATGGTAGTGTGAGTTAGGGACTGCCAGTATATACAACTAGTGGGGAAGTATATACTACTAGGGGGGAAAAAGCCATTCGAATTCAGGTCTTGGTGCCCACCCCCACTGTTATCTTGATAATTAGTATCTGCCCCCTATAATTGTGATAGCAATGACTCAGACAGTGGGTACAAGAGTCCTCCAGAATAAATCATGATAGCACTTCCTAAAGTTCCCTACCTCTAAAATTCCTCACCCCTAAAATTCCCTTACCTAAATTCCCTATCCCTCCTCCACCAAACTCTTAGGGAGTGGTGAGTTATAATGAAACCTCGTGCATTGCTGGTGGGAATGCAAAATGGTGCAGCTACTACAGAAAACAATTAGGCAGTTTCTCAAAAAGTTAAACATAGACTTGCCATATTCTGCTCCTAAGTACCCAAAAGAATTGAAAGCAGGGACTCAAACAGGTACTTGTATACCGCTGTTCATAGCAGCTTTATTCACAATAACCAAGAAGTGGCAACAGTCCAAATGACCGTCAACAGATAAAAAGATAAACAAATGGTATTTCCTTAAAATGGAATATTATTCAGCTTTAAAAAGGAATGAAATTTTGAAACTTGCTACAACATGGATGAACTTTGAAAACATTATGCTAAGTGAAAGAAGTCAGATACAGAAGGACAAATATTATATGATTCCACTTATGTGAGGTATGTAGAATAAGCAAATTCATAGACACAGAAAGTAGGAAAGAGATTACCAGGAGTTGAGGGGAGGGAGTATGAGGACTGGTTGTTTAATGGGTAGAGTTTCTGATTGGGATGAAGAAAAACTTCTGGAAATGGATAGTGGTGTTGGTTGCACACATTATGTATATATTTAATGGCACTGAATTGTATACTTTAAAATGGTAAATTTTATGTTATGTTAAAAGAAAGAGGAGAAATGGGGGCTGATGCTTGTTAAGTGGAGGTTCCAATTTCTCCACATCCTCACTAGCATTTATTATTTTCTGTATACACACACACACACACGCACACACCCGTCCTAATGGGTGTGAAAGGGTATATAAATACGCGAGAAGACCTACAGTGGTTGTGCGTGTACTGAACATGTACAGACCTTTTTTTCTTGTTATTCCCCAAACAATACAGTATAACTATTTATATACATGTTTTTAACATAACATTAACTTAATACTCACAGTTACCCTGATGATTATTGCTTGTCCATTTAACGAATACATAACATAGTCAAAAGTTCAGAAAGCTTTAACAATCTGACAAAAATTACACAGCTAAAAAAATGACAAGGTTAGAATTTGAAGTTTGCTCTGTCTCCCAAACTCAAATTCCCTGAGGGTTACACACCACACCCAGATTTGCCTGGAATGTCACCTCTCAGATCAGTAATCAAATACCCCAACTTCTTATTACAACCTTCTCCTCTAACTTGTTCACAAAATTACTCTCAATGCCTAGGTTCTCCAGTCACATGGAAACTTCCAATACTTTGACCCCACTTAACAAATATGTTTTAAAAAAAAAAGTGAAAGTGCCAGCACTTAGGTAGGAAACTTGAAATGACAAAATTAGAGGAGAAATATGGGGAAATAATAGAGATTGATGTCCTAGAATTAAAGAGAGAGGAAAGATCTCAGATTAAAAAGGCCCAAAAGAATACCAAATAGAGTTAAGAAGAAACCCATACCTGGACACATTATAGTGAAATTTAAGACTATCCGAGATAGAGAGAAGTCTAAAAGCTTATCAAGAGAATAAATAACATTATTAAGGAACAAGATTCAAATTGACGTCACACTTTTCAACAGCAACATAGACTGCAAGAAGACAGTAGAGTAATAATATATTTTGAGTACTGAAAGTATTGAAAGGAAATAATTTTGAACCTTGAATTTTATATCCAACCAACCATCATTCAAGTATAAGAGCATGATTAAAATATTCTCAAACATAGAAGCCCTTTGAAGATTAGCATACTAAGTCTCACATGGAGAACAGTTCTGGAGGAAGAATTCAAATGAGTGGAGAAACATATCTAACAGATGCTGCTAGATATGTGAAATATATACTTGTAAGACGTGTAAAGAATGATCAAATACCAAAGTAAAAATTGTCTTAAAAAATTAAGCATGACCAAAGAAAGAAATACAGGAAGTATATCCATAAAACATGATGAGGATTGGGTGGAGGGGAGATCAGGGACATGAGGGCGTGGTAAAGTTCTTGTCTTGATAACGGGAAGTATGGATAACAATTTTATTTGTCAAAAAGAAAGGATGTAAAAAGTTTAGAAAAAGCAAAGGACAAGTTGAAATAAAATTGTCAGTTAAAAGGCAGAGATTGACGATTCAATAAAAAAAAATCTAACTCTATACATATATTTTTTTACAAGAAATATCCTAAATCATGATTTAAAATTATATAGGGGGAGGGGGATGGATAGGATGTATATGAAAATTGTTGAAAATTGAGAATCCCAGCAGTGCTTTTGCTTATGTGGGTTATATCTATCGTTAGTTACCATATTAGAAATTAAAACTGAAAAATTTTAAAAATATTCATCTATTGGTTAGTTTAAAAACAGCAATAATATACCCTTTTTATGTTATCATAAGTAACATTTTTATGAAAAATAACTATTTTACTAAACTGAATAGTGAGAAGAGTAGTGTTGTTTTATGCACTTTTGCAAATCTCTTTTTTTTTTTTTTTTTTTTTTAAAGATTTTATTTATTTTATTTTTTGCCCCTAAAGCCCCAGTAGATAGTTGTATGTCATAGCTGCACACCCTTCCAGTTGCTGTATGTGGGACTCGGCCCCAGGATGGACAGAGAAGTGGTGCCTCAATGCGCACCCGGGATCCGAACCCGGGCCGCCAGCACCGCAGCGCACACACTTAACCACCAAGCCACAGGGCCGGCCCGCAAATCTCTTTAATGTCTGGTTTAATACAGCATACTTAGAATCTCTTTTCTGCTTCAGCATTCACTCTGTTGCAGTGTGTTGTTTTTGAGGTACGTGAGGAGAATCCTAGGACCTTGTGGATCTTTTGAAAGCATATGGAGAACCCTCAGGGGTCCTGAGACCACAATTTGAGAACTGCTTTTTCCGTACAAGTTTCTTCGTTATCACCCCCCTCCAATTGGGTGTCTTCTGCATTGATGACAGTACTTTTCTCATTATCCCATATTCCGTCCCACCTTCCATTGTTGTTTTTGCTATTTCCTATCTTACATTCTTTCTGGTTTAAAACTGGTCTTCTCTAAGTCTTTACTGATGATTCTAGTCTCTGTGACTCTCTCTTCTCTAAAATCTGTTGACAAGTGTAGTGAATTCCACATGATTTTTACTTTTCTAAGTTTTCTTTTTCCAGTTACATTATAAAGCTCCTTTAAAGTAGGGACTCTAAAATTGACAAGACAAAATAAGAGTTTCTCCTTACATAGAATGTTTGGTACGAAGTAATATTTGTTGTTTGATTGGAAGTAACACTCTCCGGGAAAGCACATATAGATCACAGATTCTCTTTTGGCTTTAAATGGTTCATTGGAAAACTATAGTATCTTACCCATTACCTGCTATATGGTAATACTTTTGGTATCGCAAGTAATACTTTTGGTATCGCAAGTAATGCTTTTTAAAAGATATTTTGTACAACTAAAACCATATTCAGTTCAGGCTTATTGATCTTGTAAGTCACTTATTGATTAATTTATTTTCTTACCATTTCAGAAAAAAGCCAAAGGACAAGAGCTGTTTGATCAGATTATGTACCACTTGGACCTTATTGAAAGCGACTATTTTGGACTGAGATTCATGGATTCTGCGCAAGTAGCAGTGAGTAGCTGTGTTCTAGAGGTTCCCATATGGGGGCAGAAATGGAAAATTTCAGATGATGTACTAAGTGTTACAAGGCTACGTATTCTTAATGCATTCTTTTTTTCCTGTGATTTTTCTTACTCTGATCTGAAACTTTGACCCCTTACTTCAGAATAACCTGAAGTGCTTGTTAAAAAAAAATGAGTTCTGGCCCTAAACTGTATTAGTAGAGCATGATCTTTGCGGATGAGACTTGGAAGTCCGTCTTTTTAATAACCACTGGATTGGTTGTTGGGCATACTGGAGTTTGAGAACCACCCTGTAATGGGAAGAGTGCTAGAATGGGAGTTTTGTGAGCTCTTGGGTAAGTGATAGAAGTTTCTAATTTGCAAATTAAGATGAGTAGACTAGAATATCTGTAAGATCCCTTCCAGATCTGGGATTCTCTATCTGTAAATAGATGTTCTTTGACATGTGTATTTCAAATGAGAAAACAGCATATGTAATAGGGTAGGAAGTTGGAGGTTTTTCAAAGAACTGAATACTGTACTAGGATTTGACTGGAGGGTATTTAAAAGAAAATAGTAGATGATATGATTGAAAGGTGGATTAGTGGCTATATCATCCAACTGAATACCAAAAGTATTAAATAATAAATGGGCAATATTTATTCTCTAATAATTGAGATTAGGAATTTTTCAAGCAGTGAGGTTATGTTTTGCTTCAGGAAGTTTTTTATAGAAATATTGTGTAGGATTATTTGGAGTGGGCAGAGATCAAAGTCAGAAAGAGTCATTACAAACACTTTGAGGTTAAAAGTAATATTAAGGCCTGGAATAGGGCATTCACAGTAGCAGGGAGAGGGAAGGAGCAGAGATAAAGATATCAAGACATTAAGCCTTGTTTTCTGGAAGTCTGTGATGGAGTGTGTGTGTATGTGTGTGTGTTTAGTGACACAATAGCGGTATCTAGGACGCGTAGGAATACTATATATAATAAGAGTTCTCAAGAATTCTCAAGTTTGTTTTGGAGTGGGGCTTTGTTTGTTTGGTTTGGTATGATTAATAAATTAAGTGGAATACCTCTATAAGATACTTTTAAAAACCCACATCTTTTGGAGATGAGTGCCTTAACTGGCTTTATAGAACATCTTGGCTGAATTTACAATTGTTAATAATGGTAGCTGAGGGCTGGCCCCATGGCTTAGCGGTTAAGTGCACGCGCTCCGCTGCTGGCGGCCCGGGTTCGGATCCCGGGCGCGCACCGACACACCGCTTCTCCGGCCACGCTGAGGTCATGTCCCACGTACAGCAACTAGAAGGATGTGCAGCTATGACGTACACCTATCTACTGGGTCTTTGGGGGGAAAAATAAATAAAATTATAAAAAAAAGAAAAAAAATGTAGCTGTAATTTTTTTCCTTGATTTCCATCCCCCCCCCGCCCCGAATTAAAAAAAAAATTAAACATGAGCATTCAGCAACAGGATAATGGCTAGGTAAAATTTGGCACACTCTTCCAATGGAATACTCTCCAGCTCATTAAAAATGGTGATTTTTTTAAGTATGCTAGTTGACATGAAATGATGTAAACAATGAAAAGGGTTATAAAATGGTATAATTGAATTTTTCTATTTAAAAAAAAATCTGGATATATGCACATATATATACGTGAAAAAATTTGCAAAGCTTTTTACCATAGTTTCAGAGTTCTGATCTCTGGATGGAGTTTGTGTAGGAGGTGTTTCTTTTATTTTTGTTTTTAATGTTATTTCTCTTCTGTTAGACTAAATCCACTAGGGACAGAGAATGAGTTACTTAGCTCTGTTACCCAGCATGTAGTAGGCACACAAAATGTTTATTGAATTCAGTTCTGGTCTGCTCCTTATTTGGGGAAGGCTTGGTTGATTATTGAGTTTATGTCATTCAACTCTCATGTCGTGAATAATGGAGTCAAAGTCTTAGAATCAATGAAAAATAAATGATTTTAGGGGTAGATAATTCATAGCTTCCTGTTTTTTTTAGAAATTGTAGGGGAAAAGAGGTAGAAGTATACCAATGTTAAGTTTCAGGTACTTTCTTTCCTTTTCTTAAGATATTTAAGAAATTGTGGAAAGAAATAGACATGCAGCCATTGCTAAGTTGTGTTAATTGTTCTTTGCTAGTGTCAACAATTACTGAATTACTAGATTCCATAGCAATATTTTCCCCCCCTCATTTGATACAGATATAGTGCCTTTCTTCTGGTCAAAATGAGTTTTTGGTAAAGCCAGCATTAGAAATTCTTCTTGTTGTTGTTGATGTCATGAGGGTTTATAACATTGTGAAATTTTAGTTGTACATTATTGTTTGTCAGTGACCATAGAAATGTGTCCCTTCACCCCTTGTGCCCACCCCCCAACCCCCTTGCCCCACCCCATAACCACCAAACTGTTCTCTCTGTCCGTGCTTAAGTTTATCTTCCACATATGAGTGAAATCATGGGGTGTTTGTCTTTGTCTGGCTTATTTCGCTTAACATAATACCCTCCAGGTCCAACCATGTTGTTGCAAATGGGATGATTTTGTCTTTTTTCATGGCTGAGTAGTATTCCATTGTATATATATACCACATCTTCTTTATCCAGTCATTAGTCTAGGGACACTTGGGTTGCTTCCACTTGGCTGATGCTGCAATGAACATAGGGGTGCATAAGCCTCTTTGGATTGTTGATTTCAGGATCTTTGGATAAATACCCAGTAGTGGGCTAGCTGGATCATAAGGTATTTCTATTTTTAATTTTTTGTGGAATCTCCATACTGTTTTCCATAGCAGCTGCACCAGTTTGCATTCCTGCCAGCAGTGAATTAGGGTTCCTGTTTCTCCACAACCTCTCCAATATTTGTTATTTTTTGTCTTGGTGATTATAACCATTCTAACGGGTGTAAGGTAATATCTTAGTGTAGTTTTGATTTGCATTTCCACGATGGTTAGTGATGTTGAATGTCTTTTCATGTGTCTCTTGGCCATCTGTGTAACTTCCTTGGAAAAATGTGTGTTCGTATCCTCTGCCCATTTTTTGATCAGGTTTTTTGCTTTTTGTTGTTCAGTTTTTTGAGTTCTTTATATATTAAGGAGATTAACCCCTTGTTGGATATATGATTTGAAAATATTATTTCCCAGCTGGTGGGTTGTCTTTTCATTTTGATTCTGGTTTCATTTGCCTTGCAGAAGCTCTTTAGTCTGATGAAGTCCCACTTGTTTATTTTTTCTTTTGTTTCCCTTGTCCGAGTAGACATGGAATTCTAAAAGATGCCTCTATGACGATGTCAAAGAGTGTACTGCCTGTGTTTTCTTCCATGAGTTATATAGTTTTGGGTCTTGCCTTCAAGTCTTTGATCTGTTTTGAGTTAATTTTTGTGTATGGTGAAAGAAAATAGTCTACTTTTGTTCTTTTGCATGTGCCTGTCCAGTTTTCCCAGCATCATTTATTAAAAAGACTTGCCTTTCTCCATTGTATGTTCTTTGCTCCTTTGTTGAAGATTAGCTGTCCGTAGATGTGTGGTTTTGTTTCTGGGCTTTCAGTTCTGTTCCGTTGATCTGTGTGTCTGTTTCTGTATCAGTACCCTGTTGTTTTGATTACTATAGCTTTGTAGTATATTTTGAAGTCAGGGATTGTGATGCCTCCAGCTTTGTTCTTTTTTCTCAGGATTGCTTTAGCTTTTCGGGGTCTTTTGTTGTTCCATATGAATTTTAGTATTCTTTGTTCTATTTCTGTGAAGAATGTCATTGAAATTCTGATTTGGATTGCACTGAATCTGTAGATTGCTTTAGGTAGTATGGAAATTTTAACTGTGTTTATTCTTCTGATCTACGTGCATGGGATGTCTTTCCATTTCTTGATGTTGTCATCGATTTCTTTCAATAATGTCTTATAGTTTTCAGTGTATAGCTCTTTCACCTTGTTGGTTGACTTTATTCCTAGATATTTTATTCTTTTTGTGGCGATTGTAAATGGGATTGTCTTCTTGAGTTCTCTTTCTGTTATGTAGAAATGCAACTGATTTTTGTAAGTTGATTTTGTATCCTGCAACTTTGCTGTAATTCTTGATTATTTCTAATAGTTTTCCAATGGATTCTTTAGGGTTTTCTCTATATAAAATCATATCATCTGCAAACAGTGAGAGTTTGACTTCTTCGTTGCCTATTTGGATTTCTTTTATTCCTTTTTCTTGCCTAATTGCTCTGGCCAAAACCTTCAGTACTATGTTGAATAAGAGTGATGAGAGGTAAGTTGAATGTCTTTTTCTTGTTCTCAGAGGAATGGGTTTCAGTTTTTTCCTGTTGAGTATGATGTTGGCTGTGGGTTTGTCATATATGGCCTTTATTATGTTAAGGTACTTTCCTTCTATACCCATTTTGTTGAGAGTTTTTATCATAAATGGATGTTGGATCTTGTCAGATGCTTTCTCTGCATCTATTGAGATGATCATCTGGTTTTTATTCCTCATTCTGTTAATGTGGTGTATCACATTGATTGATTTGCAGATGTTGAACCATCCCTGTGTCCCTGGTATAAATCCCACTTGATCATAGTGTATGATCTTTTTAATGTATTGCTGTATTTGGTTTGCCAATATTTTGTTGGGGATTTTTGCATCTATGTTCATCAATGATGTTGGCCTGTAATTTTCCTTCTTTGTATTGTCCTTGTCTGGCTTTGGTATCAGGGTGATGTTGGCCTTGTAGAATGTGTTAGGAAGTGTTTCATCTTCCTCTACTTTTTAGAAGAGTTTGAAAAGGATAGGTATTAAATCTTTGAATGTTTAGTAAAATTCTCCAGAGAAGCCATCTGGTCCTGGACTTTTATTTTTTGGGAGTTTTTGATTACTGTTTCAATCTCTTTACTTGTGATTGGTCTGTTCAGATTCTCTATTTCTTGATTCAGTTTTGGGAGGTTCTGTGAGTCTAGGAATTTATCCATTTCTTCTAGATTGTCCAGTTTGTTGGCATGTAGTTTTTCATAGTATTCTCTTATAAT